GCCCCGGCCTGCTCGGCCTGTGCCGCTGCCAGCCCGCCGGCCTGAGGTCCTGCCTGCCCCCTGCCTTCCAGCTCCAGCGCCCCCGGGTTCCCTTCAGCTTTCTCCTGCCCGCCCTGCCCTCCTGAATACTGCCCTGCCTGCCTGCTCCGCTGCCCTGCCTGCCTGCCCCCCGCACAGGCCCGGTTCCCGCCCTGGCCCCTGGCACCAGCCGGGGTGCGAGGCGAGGCGTAAGCACAGAAGTTCCCTCACAATAACCTGCGGCCTCCCGACCGCCACTCGGACGAGGGTCTGTGAGGTTTGAAAGCTGCTGGAGCCAGGCTCGCTGGCTGTAAACGGCGGGCAGGCCCGATTCGGTTGTCTCCCAGCGAATTACTGCAGGTTATGTTGCACAGCTCCCTGGAAGTGCGCTTTACTGCATGGGAATCTTCCAAGTTTTACTGTTTTCATAAACAAAAAATGGAGCAAATGAGTAAGAGAGAGGGATCTGAAGTTACCATTTGTTGAAGAAAATTGGTTTCCTCCAGTGCATGTGTGGGTTGTTGGCTGTGCTGGGCAGTGGTGCTGCAGGGACCAGGAGGGGTGACTGGGGCAGAGCTGGTGTGGGGATGGAGGCAGGGGACCCTCCTAGGGCATGGTGGTGGCAGCAAGCAAGGTCCTGCAGCTTGCAAGGACCCTGGGACATGGCTGAAATGATGCCCGGGGGCTCATGGTAGAGCAGTCTGATGACCCACTAATGCTTTTGGTTTTGATTTGATTGGATTTTAATCCAGGCACCGTGATTGATACATCCCATCTGCTCTCTTCTTATTTTCCAGAGTTTGGAGCATGTGAGAAGCTGCCAGAGGAATCGCTAATATTTTAATTTCTGCTTCTTCAGGTATGAAGATCTTATATGGCTTTTTGGTTTTGATGTTCCTTGAGTTGGTGTTAGTTTAGGAATTTCTTTTATCAGTGACGCTAGTATAAACTGAGTGATTACATGGGTCTTTTTATGGAGCGATGTCTTGATGTACCTACACGTATACGCTGTAAATGTGCACAGGTTTTGAGTGCTTCTGATTTAATATAACCGCTGCATCTTGTGGCAGTCTGTGATGGATCCTTAGCGCAGCAGCTCTGGCTCACAGTTGCTTCAACTGTGTTTCTCTGTCATCTTTGGGCTTTGCTGTATTACCATATTTTCCCATGACCCAGTAGTCTTTTTTTTTTTTTTTTTTTTTGAGAAGGCTTTATCCTTTCTTGCAGATGCTCCACACGATGCATGATACAGTGGGTCAGTGTAGTGATAAGTTCTCCAGTGACTGTTCAGGTGGGAAACGTGCATTTTGCTTCCTGAAATATGTGCATTAAAAAAAATCAGCAACAAGAGGCAGGGGGAATGAAACCCTTTTTCTAGCTCAGGACATACTCGGCCATAACTCCATTTTAAATGCAGTCAAATAACCCTAGTAGCTCACTGCTTTCCAAGGCCTTGTGGCTGGTGACTTTTATAGCTTTTCACAAAGTGGATAAAATGGAGGTGCTCAGAAATCCCCAGCAGACAAAAGAATATCTCAAGTCACATTTTGTTGAGTAGATGGAGTTATTGGCAGGCTGAGTGAGACTTTCAGCCAAGGCAGCTCAAGTGGGTTTGGGAGTACCCAGATGCTGTGTAGACTTTTTCTGGTGCGTGCAGGCTAGTCGATACTCTGCCGCTGCATAAGCAAACAATGGCGAGAGTGGCTGGGCTGTGATGCGGTTGCTGTGGTGGACTGGAGCTGTAATTCAGTGGCTGAGAGACCTGGATTCAATTCTGTGCTCCACCACAGGCTTCCCATCTGTCTGGGCCCAACTCCTTAGTCTGTCTGGGGTGGTCTGCATTGCACAACAGCATTGTGCAGAGATCCTGGGGCTGGTATCAGCTGAAGTCTAACTCTGGGACTTGGTGCAGCCCTCCCTGGGAGCTCTTTAGCCCTGCTGAGGACACAAGCCTCTAGGGCTCCACTGGGGACTCTCTCCGCCTGCTCTGGGCCCAGAAGACCTCACAGTATTCAGAACTAGCAGAGGATTGCTAGTACAGCGCAGAGGTGTGTATTACAGGCTGACCCTCTCTTCCCTTTCCTGTCTGCAGTAGTTTGATCTGCTTCACAGAGAGGTCTGAGTGTAAATAGCCTAGTGATTGTGAGGTACAATCCCACTGAAGAAGGCCACCGGTACGTGTGAGTGTTATCATTTTATCCCTGCCCTGCATAGGAGTGCACGAGTATACAATGGTTAGATTAGCATCTGTCATGGAGTCTCTGGCAGGGCTTCAGGCAGAGCCTACTGCTCCTCTTTCTTTTTCACATAGCTCAATACGAGACCTCCTCGCTAGTGAGCGAAGGTAATAGTGACCTTCCGTGGGGCCCAGTCTCCGTTCCCAGTAGCACTGTGTTTGTTAAGGGAGCTTGCATTTTCCCAGAGAACGAACAATGCCTGACTGTAGATGTGTTCTGAACTCCTATCTGTGCCTTATCTGCCTCTGAAAAGGCAAACATGAAACTTCAGCTGTTTATTTGCCTGCATGCTTTTAAGATACCACAACCTTGAAAGTACAGTGTCTGAGCTTTTTGCTTTTGAATTGATGACCTCAGTGCTATCAAATGTTTTTTCTCAAATGTGAAGTGAACCCTGCCTTTTTCTCTCCTTTCCCACTTTATTCTCTCTGCCCCTTGCCCCAGCTCCACCCTTTTTTTTCTCTCGGGTTTTCAGCTGTATTTAGTAAGGTCTGTATCAAGATGGAGACTGGAAGAGTCAAGAGGCAAAATGGGGAGAAGTGCCTGACCACTGGAAGCTGGTGGAACAGGATGTGGGAATGCAACATGCAGAGAGCGGTGGCTTCTCTGCTCAGTTCCAACCACAGAAGACACTGTGAGGACAGACCATCAAAAGCGTAGCTCTCACAGGAAACATTTTGGATCAAAACACCACTCTTCAAAACAAAGGGAGCATTTCTTTACTTCCTGTCCTTTGTGACTTCAGTGCAGCTACTCGTGATGGATACACAATTCAGGCAGATTCAGGCTCGTGTCTCAGCAGGGCGGAAATATTACAGAAGTGTTGTGCTGAATGCTTAAATAATCGACTCGCAACCAAGAGCATTCTCAGGAGTGCACACTGTGATACACATTATATGCTGCTTCTTGCTGGTGGGACAGTACCCTGCAATCAGACCCCACAGATGGGCTCACACAACGTTTGCTGAGTCTAAAACTTTTTCCGTATGTAAAAAATCACTAAAACCCCATTTTCAGCATCATATGCCAGATGCTAGCCTATCTTTGAATGGCTGAATTCTTGCCTTTTTACAACATGTTGCAAAATTGATTCCGACTGAAGCACAGAATTTACAGCAATTAAGGAGAAGAGTGAAGACTGTGTCTGATGAAGCCCCCACCCAAATCAGCATTCTGAGATGAGGACGCCCATTGGGCAGTACAGTCCCTTCAGATCAGGCCAGGCTGTGGAACTTGGTTTCGTTGAGATGCATGTAGCCGTCTGAACCATGTACTAAGAACCAGATTCTGCTCTGATGGGGGATTTTTGCTGTGACCATCTGGCAGGGGACTTCAAATCTTAATGGTCGCTGAAATTTTGGTGGAAACATCAGAAGTTAAAATGCTTGTTTTTTTTGAGGTGTAACACTGCTGACTCATTAGTTCACAGCTGCCCTGACATTTTATCAACAGGAGAAGGGAGCTGCACAACTCAGGATCAACACAGTAAATACTGAATGACAAACGAGTTGGCCACACCACTGCTCTCCGTGGGGACGTTTCCAGGGTGGTCTCTGCCGGATGAGGATTTTGCAGCTGGGGGAAGAGGAGAGAAGAGGACGCCCTAGCTGGAGAAATAAGGGCATCTGTGAAGAAGCTGGCTGAGCAGTTGCAGGAGCTGCAAGAACATTTACTTGACTTGCTGTTTCTGAAGAAAGGTCAGCAGCAGCTATTGTGGTGTGGTGATGATTTATTCAGCCCAGCTGCTGGTGAAGGTTTGGACTAAGCTGTAGGGCCTCCTCCTGCTTTTCAGTGACTGTTATTACACATACAGGAAACACCTCAAGGGGGTCAGGCAGGGAAACATGCTTAATTTGAAATCCAGCAGCTGAAACGGAGACCAGAGAGCAGTGTTGTGGCTGTGTGCTGCAGCCGTCAGCCATCCCCTCGGGCACTTCTCTTCTCCAAAGTTCGGCTCTGAAACATACATTGACCACTCAAGGGATCCAGCGAGTGGTTGGTTCTCTTTTGTGTTATTATGAGCTGCATGGAGAATATAACTTATTTGTAAATCAGAAGGAACTGGTAAATTATATTAGATACTAGGATTCATTATGCATTCAGGCTCTGAACAGGGCAGGTGGGCTTAAAAACCACAAGACAGCTCTCCTGGGTATGCTTCTGTCCGCTACATCTCAAACATCAGTGAGGTGGTGTGATGTGCACACGTGTCAAGCTTTTGAAAGCAGCCAGCCCTGGGGTTTCGGTTGGGCAACTGCTGGGATGTGCTGCGTGTGGTGGAAGCAGAGCCTCCACTCTGCGCAAGTGTGGCACCTGCCCAGGGCCTGTCAAACCCCTGTCCTTCAGCGGCACGAACGTTGCTTCTGTCACTCAGCTCCAAAAAGGCCCACGTAGGTCATTCCTGAACCATGTGGCACTGGTACGCTGCCACATGCTGTGCAGCAGATGAGCCTGTCAGAGAGGTGCAGGGTGGACATGCTGAGAAAAAACAGATTGGCTAATTCTTTTCTAATTTCCATTTCTTGAAGATGCTTCTGCCCTGGTCTGTGCCTTTGGAAGTGTGACGCTCATCGGTGCTGGGCACAGCCTGCTGTGGGACAGACAATATCATCACACGGCCAAGATGGTGGCATTTAACTGGAAGGTGAGGATGTTTTACATTCATAAAGCAGCAAATTTCTGCTCTTTCAGGCAGATGCATGTTAGATGTGGTTGGGTGGATCGTGTATTTAGAGATAATTTCCTTCCCTGGGTGAAGGTTGTTTAACCACCACACTCTCTGCACCTCAGGGACAGAGGACTTGTTGTTGTCCTTTCCTGCCATACATGCTTGCGCCTTCTGGCCTGGCCCCAGCACTTGCTGTCAGGGCCTTGCACTTTAGGCATGAGCGCAGCGCTGGTAGGCAAGCTCTGCTCTGCTTGCCTCTGCTCCTCCTGGCTTTCCTCTTGCCAGGCTTTTTTCCAGCTGCTCTTTCCTCAGCTCCTTTCATTACTGGAGGGTGTTTTCTCCACTGTGTCTTTTAGTGTATTGGCACCATGAACACTCTGCAGGATACGCTTGTAAGGCACAGAAATGTTTGAGCAAGTACCTCATGCATTAACAATTTTTAACACGTTAAATCAAACAATTTATCAAGAAAGCAATGCTAACCCCAAACTTTGGCTTTACCTTTCTGGGGTTGCAGAGCTGTGGCTTAAAGAGATTGCCACTTTTAATATGTGGAGAGGTTGACAGAGGATGATGGTTTTTTTTCAAAATTAGAGGGGAGTGGGTTGGTGTCAAAGGTAATGTGCAGCTTGTAGAGACCAGCGTTATAAAAGACCTCACTTGAGCCTCTGATTTGTGGACTTTAAGGGCACACAATAATGGTGTCTGGATACATGGCTTTTTCTAAATTCATTAATTTGACAATGGCTAAACAGGCTGTGAGGTGCTGGAAGGCCTGCTAGAGGTACAGGGAGGTACTGGGAGGCTTGCTAAGGGGGAGCTGGCTGTGAACCTCCTGTGCAACACTGAGAGACCAGACCAATCCTGCAGGCTAGGTGGCTCTTTGAAACTGTGTGCTGGGAACTTAATGTACCTTCAGTATCCTTCTGGAATTGACATCTTAGTCGCTGAGTGTCTGTGCTGCTCTTGTATTTGTGTTCTGAGTTCACAGTGTTACCCATTCACATTTTATTTTCCACCCCATGTGCATCTACAGTAACATGCTTTTATAACATTGAAATATGAGCAATTTCGGTGGTTCCAGGCATTAAAAACTCCTGAAACTGAATCACTGGAGGCTGTGGGTTTTTTTTACTTTTCTTCCAGTTTAAAGGCCTTTACCTATACCTTCCAGACCTGGGCAAGTTAATCGCAAAGCTACCATGGATTAAAATTTCTAGGAGCACAAAATTGTCTTTGGGGATCACATCTGATAGCTGATATGCACGGATCCATTGCTCATGGGAGAACTGTTCAGAAGCGTTTCCACTTTTACAATTCTCCTAAGATATTCAGTTCTTCCCCTTTTTCAGCTCTAGATCATGCCAATGTTCCATTTGCTGTAAAGCAAGCAAAAGCAACAAAGACATGTTCAAAGGGGGTTCATATACAAACTTGAGTGAAGTGAACTTGGTTTTGTCCTTTCCCCTAGACATTGATCTGCCTAGTTTAAAGTTTCCTACAGAAAAAAAAAAGCATGAACAGGGGAGCATGACCATCGCTTTGAATAACGCTGTTGGTGTAGGAATCTGTATTGCATCCCTGTAGATTAATTTTTAATTGTCCAAGTGTTCCAGTAACTGCTTAAATACATTGTTTTGCATTTCAGGCTTTGGAGAATTTCCCATTGCTGATGTACATTTTGGCAGCTAAAACATTAATTCTTTGCTTAGCGTTTGCTGGAGTAAAAATGTACCAGAGCAAAAAAATTGAAGAAAAACTGAAGAGGGAACGTGAAGAGAAATTGAAAACAGAAGCAGAGAAAAAGGATGATTGAAGAGTCTCTCAGGTATAGAATTTATTCGACAACTGGGTGCTTGATAATGGCATTGACATATTAATCCCATTGTGTTTTGACTTGGATGCGTTTGGATTGTGTAATTAGAACTATCCCCATTATCTGAGTTCTTGTAGTATTTGTCTCCTGTGATGTTTCAGCGTATTTGCGCACCCATATCATGCCCACTTGTTGGAGGAATTGCAGTTACCACCAGAAAACTTGGCAGCCATGGTTCATGATTTAGGAGCTCTTAGCACAGTATTCCTTCTCTGCTCTTAATCTCCCTGAATTTTTACACCCAACCAATTGCACAGGAAGTTCTCATGCATGAAGAGATGATTAAATTAGGCAAAAAATGCATGAGAAGCATGACAGACAAGATGATGCAATAAGACCTCTTGGCCTTAAGTCATCATAATTAAGATCATCATTAATCATCATTAAGAATCAGCCATTCCATATTAGTGAAATACATGACAAGTTGTAGATAGTTTAGCTGGAAGGGCCAAATCTCATGCCATGGAACTCCCAAGGTAACAGAAATGCTACAGGTTATGCTGTGTACCATCCACCATATATACTTCACTGAGAAAAGTGGACATCGTTCTGCATGAAAGAGCAAAATGAATATTACAAAATTTCTTAAAGTTTCATTCCCTATGGGCTGAATTCCTTCCCTCAGCTTTCGAAGTTTAAGCAATCGTTGCCTTGTTGGATCAAGTCCATAAGCAAAATGAGTGCTGACTAGTGCTAAGATTATATTCCCTGTCTTGTTTGGTATGTGATTTTTGTATCAGTTCATTTCACATCTCTCTGTTCTGCAGAAAAATGGGAATTCTATTCCTGCCTGCCCTTTGTAAGCTCAGTGGGAGTTTGATGTAATGTTACGCTTTATTAAACTAAAAAACTTTCTGAGGTCATCACCTCACATATGAAGAGTTTCAGTTTTTAGATATGTTTACTAGTTTTGATTTCAAACCTATCACTGTTTTATTTCATGCAACAAGGATTGGAAATTGTGACAAGAAATGGGGCTCTGGAAATAACCATGGGAACGAAGTGGTTCATTCGCATAGAAAAAGCAACAAAAGCAAAGGTGTTTTTCAGTCTCCTGTTTACATCAGGCTGAGGACTTGTCTCTGGGCAGACTTGTGCCATTTTAAACTTGTATTTTAAATCAGTTTCGCTAGCCACTGGAAAATGCCATGAGAATGCTTCTTGCCATTTTTGCAGAGTAAGCTATATGGAATTTTATTGCTAAACACGTCAGAGATGGGCTGTCCTGCAAGCGAGCAAGCCTGCTACTTGTAATGAGCAGACCCTACCGTGCTGCGTGTGCAGCGCTGGGTCCCAGGGAGTTCTGCCTGGCAGAGTCCACAGCCCAGGGGACTGCTGCACCAGGGTAACGAGCTCATCCCACAAGGCCTCTGTGTCCAGCACGCGACGTTCACCTTGTTGAATGACTGGCGTTAAAGCATCGCAGGTTTTGCAGAAAGTAACCTAGTTGCCCAGTCACCCAGTGTTGCCTACCAGAGGCCCAGTCCTTCCCAAATCCTGCCATCTCTCAGACTGTCAGCCATGTCTTTCTATAATGGGATTGCGAGACGGGGCAAATTTTCCTACCCTAAAAATGTTCTCTGGTGTCAGCGCCGCAGAGCTGCGATTAGGTCCGATTGCAGCGTGCCACGTGGGCAGGCAGATTTAGCCCCTGTGGTGCCAGCATGCCATGCCTGCTGTTCTCACTGCTGTTTCCCCACCCTGCAGATTTTCTGACACTTGGCAGCTTGCATTGGATTCCTTTCCTGGGAGAACGAAGCGAAGCCTTCCTGTAGATGAAGGATGTGTCAAAGGAATAAAACCCTCAAGAGTAACATTTGCTTGAACTGTATCTCAACTTTTTATACGTGCGGCAAAATATCTAAGCCTCTATTTATGCAATAAAAAAACCTTTGTTAAAAAAAAAAAAAGTAATGGCCTTGGTTGCTGGTTACTCAAATGCTACAGTTAGAGCTGCAGGGGAGGCAGTTTTTAGATATTAGCTGCAAGGAGGTGGCTGGTTTTAAAGAGAAAAACACTCTGAATCCATCGTGGGTGTGTACAAGGTTCATGGAGAGACAGAAGGAAATGGGGAGGGCTCTATGCGACTTTTTCAGAGCAACTGCAGGGGTGTAAATCTGAGACTTGTGGGCCCTTTATTGAATCCATATGAACAAACGCAGGAGAGGAGCTTTTCTGGGCAGGTCTTTTCTCAAACCACGCTTCATTTCTAGGACTTCCTTAGAGTAATGCAAATCACAGTGTCAGTATGAAAACCTTTGAGGAAGTTTCATGCTAGAAGGTATCTTACATTATTTTGCTGTGCACAGTACCTGAGAATTGTGTGTGGCTCTCTATTTACTACTTGGCCTATGAAGCAGAGGGGGGGTTCATTACCATTACTAGCTGTCTCTGCATGTGCAGTAACACCAAATCCTGAAGGATAAGCTAACTCAGGTTAATCAACAAAGCAGATTTTTTTCATAGAAATGAAAGCTTAGGTATATATAGCAGTGCCAACAGGTACGTTTGCCTTCACGTTTGCCATTATAAAGCACTTCCTAGATCCTTGTATCTTCTGGAAGTTAAAGTGAAGCTGAAATATGACAGTGGAGAGGGGAGAGGAGGGAAGAGAAGAGGTGGAGGGTCCTTGGGGAAGCCTTGGGAGCCCAGCAGAACGCGGGAGGCCTCAGGGATGGCTCGCTCCTGCCCTCTCCCTGCAGCTGCAGGCTGAGGTGACAGCTGTGGTCACACCAGTGCACGCTGCTGCAGCATCCCCCTTTCAAGCCTTACCTAAGTTTGCATGCAGCTGATACAGCTGATGCTCAGAGGGCTCTTGCTGTGGTGGAGTTACTCACAGGGAATTGCAGTGATTTTTAAAAGCTCGCTGTTCATGCGGTCACCTTGGTGACTGGGGAATATAAGTATTGCAGAAACCCATTCCTGGGATAGAGCAACATCCTTGCTACAGCAGCCTTGGGACTGCCAGGCTATGGAATTTGTAGTGCCATTGTAAACCAGTAGTTTCTTTCTACAGTCTCAGCAGTCATCTGTCTATGTAAAGGTGGAATTGAATGGTAATTTAATTAAATGGCTCTGCGGTGTTCAGTGAGAATGGACTCTGCTAACCACCTCCATTAAACAGCTATTGAGGGAAAGGCGCCAAGGTACTTAGCTAAGCCACACGCCCAAACCTTAACAGGAAATTGTCAAGCCTCTGTAGTGTCCACCAGCTTCAAAAGTAAGCAATGTCTTGGCTCCATGCAGCCAAGAGTAGATTTTTCTATACCAATAGTAATAATGAGATTTTTTAAACTGAAAGTGGAAGTATTCTCTACTTCAATGCAGTTGCTCTGTAAGTAGAATCTAAGGTTTACAATCTCCCTTTAAAGCAAGTCATTTAGGATCAAAGCAATTGGGCACCAACTGGGCACCATTTAGCACCCCAAGCAATCAAGACTGGCATTAAAATCTCATGTATCTCACCAAACATGTGCAGGAAGGGAATTAACACAAGGAGCCTCTTTTTGTCCCTGACTTGAATGGGGGAGAAAGCAGCTGTGAGGAGTCTCCTCAGAAGTCCTCCACATCACCACCTTTTTGCTTCTACAGACAAATCAAAGAAGCTCTTTGTACATGTAAGACTTCAAATCTGGTCCAACCTGGCTGCTTTTTTCCTTTATTTCGGAGTAGCGCTACAGCATGCATAACCCCGAGAGCTTGTGATGGGTGTCACAGCAGGCTAATATCTTAGAGTTTCCAAAATAAGAAACCTATCCATTCCCTAACCTGAACCAATATCTGGTCTCTGACATATCAGGGTAGAGTTTTGATCTATTCTATCACTGGACAGGTTACAGCATTATTTTTTTTTTACCCTTGGGCATGCTATGTGCTGCAATTGCAGCCTTAAACAAGAAAATATGCTGACACTGGGGGGAGACAGCAGCTCAGATTTGTTTCAGTTTCTTGTTCAGAAACCACCTGGGGACCTCGAAGTCTGGTTTCTTACTGAAAGAAGAGTTATAGGATTAGTCCTGGCAAGTTTAGAAGAGGAATAGAGAATTCAATTTGATTGGGTTTCTGCAAGCGAGAGGAGGCAGCAAGGATAGACATCCTTGAAGTGCTCAGTGTGTATGAGTGTGCAGCTTGTTAGACAGCAGGGGATCTACACAGGATCCTCTTGTAGACGTTCTCATCCCAGAAAGAGAACCAGGTCCCACTCTTCTGGTGCCTGCAGAACTACAGTCTCCTCCTCCTCCCCCATTACATAAAATTGCTCTTTTCAAAAAGAGCATTCATGTTGTATAGATGAGCAGCTTAATCTTCCGCAGTACCTCACTTGCACAGCTCTTTCACTATCAGATGTTGTCATTGTCACCAGTAGCAAGTGTTGAAGACTGGGAAAATAAAAGGGTTACTGGCTTTTTAACTTCCAGTGTTTGCACCTTTAGGTTTTCTTTTACTGACACGAAGAATGTGTGTTTTTAAACAAAAGCTGGAATCCTTGTGTAGCAATAAAGAAAGGAGCTATTTGGGATTTTAAGGGAAAAAAATAAACTCTCACAGGTTCTGAGACAACTTAAGTGGCTGCTGGAATTGGGCCCTTCCAGCCTGAAGGAGCTCAGTGGCTGTGGGATATCTGTGGTCCTTAAAGTGAAAACTAAGTGAAGAAGCATTCAACGTGACTGTTTTCTCATTATCCATTTTAGACTTTGGCTGGAATGAACTTGGCTTGATTTTCATACCACTGAATGCTTTTAGGCTGAAGGCCACCAGCCTTCTACCAGAAACACAGCAGCACTGGTGCTGGAGGAAGGCAGAGCTCCCTGAGCAGCGCCCCAGGGCAGGAGAGATTGCTCTTGAGCCATTGTGCTGCAAGTCAGGGTGCTAAATATTTTTCAGCTCTTCCAAGAGCCTCACATGCAAACAACTATTTCCAACATTTCCTTCCTCAGTTTTCCTCTTGGGGATCAGCAATTCCAGCTGTTCTTTCTTGCTCTTCTCAGTAAAGGCACCACAAATGTTCTGCCTGGGGTACAGTCCTTCACAGTTCTTGATCCCAGCTCTAACCTATGACACTCAGTCAGCATCTCTGCCTACCTGCTGACTGTAGACCCCCTGGCCTCAACTCCGGCCAAAGAGGGGCACTGTGGCAACCTCTCATAGACCCCTTCCAGCTCTGCCATGGGAGAAACCAGTAGATTAAGCTGAAACAAACCTCTCTTGTTTCAGCCTTCACCAGTTCTTCACACTCTTTGCAAAATTGCTTCCAAAGACGCATCGACTTGCTGCATCCTTTCTCTATTTACTATGTACTCACCTCAGCCTCCAAGTCAAGTTTAGTGAGGGGCTGAGAGACCTCGTGTGAAGGAGCTGACTACCCTGTGACAGCCTTGTGTCTGACAGGCTCCCAGTCACATGGAAAACAAACCTAGCGATATGGCTGTGCAAGTGTACAACCCGCTGAGCGCGTGGCGCCAGATCAGGTAAAATTTCTAAAACCTGACTTTACGTTACACCCCCAGACACGTGCCAGAAGCCATTTTCAGATAGGCTGTCTGGAAGTGGCTGCTTGGTTTGGGGACTCAGAGGTGGCTAGATGTTAACGCACAACCCACGTCACTCCACAGTTTGGCTTTGGCTTTTGAAGCTGGTTTGTCTTGGCTACTGGAGCAAGCCCAGTGTATCATGTAAGCTCAGCGGGACCTTGATTGGCGTATGTGTGTCCCAGTCTTGGGCATAATCAGAGCACCAGCTGTCCCTTCTGATTCTGATAACAGAAATACCCCGTAGCTGCCAGAACAGTTATCCCCATAGCAATGGACTCCTCATATGTTCCTGTAGAGAAAAAGTTTGGGCACAAATAAGTGATTAGGCATGTATTCATGTATATCTCCATATGGCATCAATTTCTCCCTCTCTGAATCTGACAAAAGAGCGATAGAAAGAGCGATTGAAAATGTCTGTGTGTACCAGAGTCAAAGGCTGTGCCTCACAACGAGACTGTTTCCAGTCTACCCAAAGGCTCTTGAGATGGCTGTCACAGAGCAGAGAATGGATATAGCTGCTTCCTGTTGATCACTAGAAACACAGCATGGGTGACTATCCTTTTTTATTAGTCTCTTTTTTTCCTGGGCTTCCCCATATTGGTTGGTTTTGCACTCCAGTGCCTCAGCTTCTAATGGTGTGGCACTTTCCCAGTTCTATGGCTTTTTTGATTGCTGTGACTCATATTCTTCTGGCGTAAACTCAGGCTAATTTCCTGGCTTGGTGTTTCTCATTGATTTGAGGAGACTTAGAGCTAGCCAACAAAAAATGTCAGACACTGACAGTTATATGCAGTTTAACTGGCCCTTACGTGTCTTTGTTTTCTAAAACAGTTTTCTTATTTTGCATTTCTTACATAGAACGGTGTTCCCGTATCCCTCCTTCTTTCCTATGTGCATTTCTCTCCATACCTGCTCCACATGGTTGCCGCAGAAGGAAATGTCAAGGAACAAGTTCACAGAGACAGAGGCTGGGCTTTGAGCGATGTGGGTTGCCTTTCCACTGCCCGGCCAGCCTTCTCCCAGTTCTCAGGCATGGCACAAAATGGGCCCCGCTCTGCCTGCTCAGTCACAGAAGCACACACCTTGTGCCCCATCTTTACGTCCCTGGCTTGGGCTCTTGCCCTAAGTGCATTTGTCCCATCTGTACCCTGGGTTGCAGCATGCTATTAGGACAGACAACTTGAAAATAGGGAAAAAAAAATGTGTTGAGCCAATCATTACAGGTCTGCTTCATGAGCTGAAGGAAAATAAATGTTTTTTTTTCCATGAAGACGAGGCTTGGAAAAGCATTTAGAAGTAATTAGTCAGTGAGACATCACAAAAATTCAGGTGATTTGCATCCCAGCTAGCTTAGAGCAGAGGGACATCTGTTATAGCTTCTTCATCAACATACGCATTTGCATCTGCCTCTCCTCTTTATGCAAAGATACTTTAATCATTTTATTCTAGTGGTGCATTTCAGTCACACAGGGAGAGTCGTGAGTAGGAACGAAGAGACTTGTTTTGACATCCTGCAACGGTCAAGTGTACTGAGCCTCACTACAAGAGCTATTGCTAGCAAACCTAATAAAATAATAGGTATTTAAAATCCTACCAAGAAGATACTAGACTCACTCATGCTATTTCAACTGCTCTTGAATAAGGTGCATGCTATTTGGTAACATCCTCCCATTAGCTTGTTTAGTCATATGTTAAAGGAATTGCTTGTCATCCTAAATTACCAGTTGAGTCAGAACTGTATGAGCCACAATATTTTTCTTCAGTACAAAGGGTTACAACGTTTTGTCGAAAACATGGGTTGTAATTACCCTTATGCAGCAGCAAAGGGGGAGGGAGGAAGAAAGAAGAGGACTCATCTCAGAGGATTTTATATAAAATACCAAAGTTCATTTGATTTCAGACTCGGTTCTGTTTCTGTACACATTAAATGGGACCGGGTAGAAAAGTTTCGCCAGCCCTCCACCTCCCAGCAGGAGGCTGGGAAGAGTGAAGGTCTTTAGCGAGGCTTTCCCAGCCCTTTGCAGGGAAAGGATGTTTTTCCCTCGCTCTCTGGGAGATGTGGCACCAAACACTTCCTCTTCCCGCATGCTTTTTTCCATGAACCCTTCGTGGAGGCTTCACCCTCATTTTACCGAAGAATACCGAACAGGAAAGGCTCACAGCTTCCTCTGACACAAATTACTTCCTTTTGATACTTCCTCGTTGCTAAAATGGATGGAAAGCAGGTGATTCTGTACCTGGTCCCATGGACTCTGCTACGAATTATGGATGGCAGAAGGCACACCCTACCCATGAAGAAATGTTGCAATGTGGCCCTAAAGCCGCAGCTGCGTAAGCCATGGCAGCAGACACCGCTAAGGCTGAGCTGTGGTGAGGCAGTGGCCGGGGACTCTGCTCCGTTCAGGTTCGGTCTCGTTCTTCTTCATGTGAATCCAGAACACAATGATGGAAGTCATGGGGTTTGTGCCGATTTGACTACAGCGCACTGTTACTTCTCCCCAATAGTGTAGTGCAGTGTCATCGGGTGAAGGTAAACAGTCATTGGGAAAATGGGGTGTGCATCCTTTGCTTCTTAATAAAACCAAGCTAGGGTGCAATTACTGCCCTATCCTTGTGGTAAAGAGGCACCAGACCTCTTTCTTTCCTCATGCTGATTTCACACCTCTTCATATTCATCAATATTTAGTGCAGCGATTGCTGCTTCAAGCCAACGTGAAATTATGTTCAGGGCCATGATACCAGGACAATAAAAGCATTCTTGCCCTTCTCCAGTCTCTCCCCTTTTTCCCTCCACTCTCTCCTCCTTGCATTTGAAGGACCTAATTTTCCATTCTCTGCTACACCCATATTTGTAAAAAACGAGCAGATGTTTTTGCTGATGAATATGAAGCTGAGAAAAGGTGGTTATTTTTCTCTGTATATTCACATCTCAGCTCTAGAGAATTACATGCGTGGATTCTTCTGAAGGTAGATGAGACTCCCTTTTTTAGATATCTCTCTGCCACACCAAATTACAATGATCGTTTAGATGGTTTCCACACACAGGAGAAAAACTGTGCAGATTTGCCTCAGTGTACTGAAATGTTTTAGTGAACCAGTGAATCATCTCATAACTTATTTCTTTTATGTTTTTACGGCCTTAGTTCTCTTAGAAGTACACAATAAACACATACCCAGTAATGAGCAACACCGAGAATGTAAATTAGGAGGGTGGTTGATTTTGGGTTTTTTTTTTCCAAGAAAACAAGAAAGTGTTCAATGAACTTGAAAAAACTGCTGTTAAGAAATACTACTTTGCATCACTCATAAATAATCTTTTGAACTCCATTCCGTGAGAAATCATTACATCTCAGTAATCGATGTCATAGATAAAGAAAATCTCCAATGATGAGTGCCATATTTTATCCTGAGAGATTGAACTCTTCATGCTTTAAAGCCTGAACCAACTCTAATTGTCAGGCTTCAGAAAGGAACTTCCCTTTTAGAAAGATTTCTTTTACCTGTCACTGTTTATTGCGGACCACTGTTGGAAGCAAGGTACTCAGTGTAATGAACTGCTGAGCTGACAGCAGATGTTAATGCTCATACAATGGGAAAATTGCATTAAATTCTTCAGGCTTCTTTAAGCCATGGACTCTGGTGTCAGTCACGGTCTAGCATATTCCCTGCTCAGGAGCAGATCTCCCACTGGGGTCAAAGACAGGCTTGACCTACAGAATTCATTTCACAGCCCAGTCTTTCTCAAAATTGAGGGCATTTACATCTGAGGCATGGTCTCACAACTCCCATAACAGAGGAATTCATGCAGAAGACTGGATAAAATGGATCTCAGGCACACTTTGGCCCATTTTTGTGATAAGGCAAATTAAATGTCCCTTCTTAATGCAAGTGTAGTGCACATCAACCTAATCCAGACATATCCCTAAAATGAAACATTCAGATTTAAAATGATCTCTTTTATTAGTGCTATTGACTTGTTTTTCAGGTTTACACCCTTTGAAGGAAAGGGCTCAGCAGAGCTGGAACAGGGTAACTCATTGAAAAGAGATTTAAGGCTTGTCTGCAGGAAGAACTGTTTAAGAAAGTGTGTCAAGGTAATAGTTCTCCCATCTCTTCACTCTGTTAATCACTACCTTCCATTTGTTTGGGGTCATCTTCTCTATTCCTTGAACAATCAAGTCACTGAAGAGGATACACCTATAGGAGTGGGTCCTCTCAACAGACCTCAGAGCAAAGTCCTTCCTGTTGTTTATAATAAACCATTTCAAAGAAGACCAGGCAACATCCATAGGATAGAGATAGTTGTAAGACGAAGGCACAACAAGAAGCTCATGGCCATTGGCTCTGGCAACTTCAGGGCAACACTTGATGCTGGATGTGTAGATCGCTGGTGAGACTGGCGGCAGAGTTCCTGTCTCCGGCTCCTTGCTGTCTTTTGCCCCCATTCGCATTGTTTGCCTTTTGTCCCTCGTCACAATTACGCACTTCCCATAGGAGGAGGTCAGAGAATCACACAACTCCTGAAAAATACTGTTCTGCTGATGGTTGGGCAAATCACCTTTTAAGAGCAGTTTGTACCTCCAGGGCACCCACCCTAGGCTGCTGCCAGCGTGAACAAGCGTCCATACCGGCCAGCGCAAGCTGGCCTCCTCGGCTATTTTTTCTCCTGTTATAAGACTTTCTGGAATATCTGTTTCCCCTAAAAAAACAGTGTTGAAACTGTTAAGCTGCAGTGTCCTCAGAGCTCTTAAATACTGTAGGCACTGCCTCTTTGAAGCAGCATCACAGCAGCCCCTGCGAATTACGTGCCTGAGGAGCGGATTTGCGAAGCACTGCATGTTGGTGTCATCTCAAGGCACATGAAGGATGCTCACAGACCTCACAATGCACCCGTTGCCCCGGCGTTACCCGCGGTGTCACACCCAACCAGGGGCAACATCAGCAGGGGCTTCCAGGTGGCTGATCAAAAGGCATCTTGGAAAATAATGGTCCCATCAGGCTGGGTAGGCTGCAACTGTGCAGGTAGTGGCTTCAGGCATCAGGACTTTGCTCATCTTGAACATCGTGGTTCCTTCTCTCACAGCACTGGGTGGGTACTTGGGCCCTATGCAGGTGAGTGGGCCAGTCAGACACTGCTGAAAGGGGTATAGAGGGATGGTAATGTGGTGGAAGGTGCTGTCCAGAGTCAGCATGGAGAGTGAGCCAATGCCTGAGCTTTGAGGCTAGTGGTAGAAACCATTCCCTCCCTGCCTTGGCAAGCATGTGGCCTCATGGAAGATGTGGCCTTGAAACCCTCCTCGAGGGAGGAGGGGGCTAAACCGTGGGTATCTTGTTATGGGGGGAAGGAGGACCCCCACATGAGCCTCTGTTATGGGCAGGCCCAATCCTGGCAGCCTTGCAAGGTGATGCCTCGTAACCAGTGCCCTGTGCGAGGTCCACCATGCTCAGCCTGCCCAGCTCCAGGCCTTGGAACGGGAAGAAATAAGCCATGTCTCAGACAATGCTTCAGAGTGAGGGATTTTTAGGAGTAATTTGGTTTCTAGAGTCCTCTTAGGTTCCCACTTTGTGCACCCACTTCTCCATTTTATTCTGGCCCTACCGATGAACCCCTGAGGCACCTGCATTGAGCTTGACACCAACACCATCACCCCCTCCATGGGTGAGCAGCACCTTCAGAGAAATGGCAGGGACTATGGGGGGAAAAGAAAATTGGTCGTGTGGTGTTATGTGAACACACAGGCAGAAATGAAGGTCAGAGCAGAAGGCTGGACGGGTACCACCCTGCTGCCATGGCAAGTCAAAGGGGGACCCAGGAGCACGTGGCAAAGTGAGGGCTGCAGCCTGCCTGGGGAGAAGGGAACAGCCAGGGAAAGACGTGTGTGTGTGTGTGTGTGTGTGTGTGTGTGTGTGCAGGCGCACTGAGGGCAGCGAGTGTTCAACTGGGGAAGGCTGTGGAGCAGCAGAAAGTGAAGACTATTTTGACCCAACTTGTTTCTTACCTGTCCCTCCACCTCCCTGCAGATGCACATGCAGAATTTTACTGCAGGAACAAGCTTGTCAGTACAAGACTGTTAAATTGCTCCCACTTTGCTGTACCTACAAGGCTGGGAGTGAGTGCTGGCAGCATCGTCAGCCTGCCAGATGGGGCTGAACAGCACAAACATGTCAGTCTCTGCTGATGGCATAGAACATGGATGGATGGAACAGTTTTCCTTCCCCCTAACTCAGAGGGAAACGCTGTAAATTCAAAAAATGTCTGAAGATGAGCATGGTCAGTGGGGTCTTACTCAGCTGTCTGGATGCTCTCCTTGCTGAGGCAGATTAGTGATGGGGCACATCATGCTAGCAGCATCACACAAAGAGCAGAAGTCTGAAAATTTGAAATAAGAAGGGTATACCACCAGAAAGAAGCCTATATGCCTTGTTAGCCAGATGCAAAATTATGGCAGATTTAGATTGTACACATATGAAGAAAAATCCTTGAGTAAGCAGTATATATCCATATGAGAATACAACATAAAATAGTATTGACTCATCTTTACTAGCATTTCACTCTGTGGTATATCTTTCTCTTTTAGTGTTAGCTTTTGTCCTTAATAAAGGTATACCAGGAGCATAATTTGACACGAGTAGTCCTACTGGAGTTACTGGGTGCTTATTATTTTTGAAAAGTGCACGTGTTTAGAGGCCTGATTAGGGCCTGAGGTCCCCCAAAATGCTGATTTAGGGACCCCACTGCTCAAGAACTGGATGTAAAGTGTTGAAAGAACTACCTGTAAAGAAATCTTATTCCCTAATTCTTCTTGGTGCCCGTGACAAGCATCCCACCCATGACACCCACTGGAACCACAAATTGTATTCCCTGTTACCTAAATTGAAGGTATTGTTTCCTTGTCTCCTCTCTAGAGAGGATTTACTTAATTGCACCTGAGTTGGAGCATGCCGTCCTTTGGATAGACACAAAAAGGGCATGTCACTTTTGTTACTCTTGCTTTCTAGCTCCTTTCTGATTGTGAATGGAGACCAGTAGGAAACGCATCAGGGGAACAACTGTGGTAGCATCCAGGGAGTGTCCCCAGGTACAAAAGTGAGGTAGGGCTTCCCCTCTCCTTCCTGTCCTCTCCTCCATCTCCAGGCTTGTCCCTGAGGCCTCCTGGCCGTGCCAGGCTAAGGATGGCTCTGACACTGCCCACCTCGTCCCTCTCAGACCTGCCCCTGTCATCAGTGGCAAGTAGCAGCTCTGTGCTGCTGTCCCCTGCAGGCTCCTCACGGGCTGAAAGCTGTGGTGCCCAGCCCATTTGTGTGCTCTGAGACTGTTCCATGAGGCAACCCGAATCACAGCAGCAGCGGTCAGAAGATGCACTTCAAAAGCATGGGCCTCTTCTGAGCTGGACCACACATGTAGGGACCACTGGGGCTGCCCAGGAAAATTGTGTTTGATGTTCCTCAGTTTGGACCCCCCTATCGTGAACAGTCCTGAGGCCGTTGTTCAGCCTATCACTCCAGGCTTTTGTGGTTTTGCAGCACCAAGGAAAATCAAGACAAAGATAGCCTGCTGCTGCAGGCTGAGCGCTTTCCTGTGTTGTCATGGGCTGATGAAGGGACTTAGCAAGGTGGACGAAGGAGGCACAAAACAGCCTTTCTCCTTGTGAAGCCTTAGGCATGGGCAAGGTCTGTGTCACTGTATTGTGGTGCTGTCCCAGAAAGACATGGTGATGCTCTTATGCTGTCAGATGGCATCACTGTGCCTGCATCTCTGGCTGGCCCTGGCTCCTTCAACCCCCATGAACTGGGCTGAGCCTAAATGGTTATGAAAATACCAATAATAATGCAGCTGATATGTAGTGAGATGGGAGGGATGGACTACTTTCATGTCCTTTTCAGAGTAACTATTTGAGAAGTGGATTCTCCTCTGTCCCATTCATATATATATGACACAAACCCACCTGCTAAACTGCTTTAAAAACAATTATTCACGGTCCTAGCATCTCAACATCATTTAAAAAACTTGGGCAGCACACAAGCACTGGGCTGAGCCACAAAAAGATGTATTTTATTTCCCATGCTACCTTTAGTCTGCTGTGTTCCTTTTTGCCTCTTTTCCCTCCCACCCCATGCCTACACAGCCAGTGAGCACTTCGGGGCAGGAGGGCAGGGAATCACAGAATCACCGAATGGTCAGGGTTGGAAGGGCCCTCTGGAGATCATCTAGTCCAACCCCCCTGCCAGAGCAGGGTCACCTACAACAGATTGCACAGGACAGTGTCCAGGCGGGTTTTGAATGTCTCCAGAGTGGGAGACTCCACCACCTCTCTGGGCAGCCTGTTCCAGTGCTCCACTACCCTCAAAGTAAAGAAGTTCCTTCTCATGTTAAGATGGAACTTCCTATGTTCAAGTTTATGCCCATTACCCCTCGTCCTATCACTGGGCACCACTGAAAAAAGACTGCTCCCATCCCCCTGGCACCCTCCCTTTAAGTATTTGTAAGTATTAATAAGATCCCTCCTCAATCTTCTTTTCTCTAGTCTAGGGACCTTTCCTCCTTTTGTAATTTTAGACTTCTGACATTCCCTAGCAAGGCCACACGGTGCAAAATCCCTGGGCATAGCCCCTGCCTCACGAGTGCATTTGAGATTTGGGAAAAGGCACATCCGATCGCTCTCTTATCCTTCAGCCATTGCACCGGAGTCTCCTGTTCTTGCCCTGCTGCCCTACCAGGAAGACCTGCAGTCTTGCTGGGTCGGTTGGTGTTTGGGCATCAGCGCTGGGACCACCCGCCTTCCTCCACCGCCCCCAGCGCACGGAGTGCATTGCACCCAGCACCCCACGCACAGGGCACCGGCCATGGGTGGTATCTGCCCCCCAGGTGGGTGTGGGAGTGGGAGGGTGGGCTCAGCAGCACGTGGAGTCTTTCTCAGGGATGCCCGGGCTTGGTGGCATCCTGCTCCCCCTGGGAAGAAGGTGGGAGGCCTGGCCCCTGCCTGCTGCCAGCTCTTCCATCACTGCCCGGGCACAGGAGTGGGGGCTGAGCAGCGGCACCCCACCCCCCTCGATGCACTTTTTTGGTGCTTCACCAAATTGCATTGCACCACTTAGCTAAACAACAAATTTACCAATTACCCGTGGACAAAGTCACTGTTAATGAAGCAATTAGGATACCGATTATCAGTTACATACCAATTACCCATTTCAGTAGTAATTATGTTATTAGGTTACCAGTCACCACATTCTATATGCAAGCTAAAAATCATCACAAAACCTTTATTTTAAAATGCCAAATAAAAACATAATGAAATACAGAACATAATGAAATACACATAAACAGTAGGCATGTTAGGCAAACAGTGGATGTTTTTACCTGCTGTGTTATATTGCATGTAGCAGCTAAAATGAAGTTGCTAATTTTGAAATTTAACATTTTGTTTTTATCTAAACAAAATATTTCGTAAGTTTGGGGTTTTTTTTCCAAAACCAACACTTGAGAACATTATTCTACAGGGAAATTGGTTCTTTTCCAGTCTTGCATGGAGTGAGAAAAATTAGGATTCTTTTTCTAACAAATACCATATCCAATTTAAATAATCTGTTTTCCCTCCTAGCTGTCTGATGAAGTCCTGAACACTGGCTGAAGTCCCATGCCAAAGTAGTATTTCTGGTGTCAAATGAGACTTTCCAAAAGTGTGTAATTTTAGCTCTTGATCTGTGATGGTGATGGAACCAGTAAGAGAAGCACTTGCCAAAATCAAAGATGGCCTCAGGGTGGAAACAGAAAAAGGTGGAAACTTCAGAAAACAAATTAAGCTAGTACCTAAAGCAAGAGCTCTAAACATCTCAGAAC